CTTCGTCGTCGCCGTCGGCGTTTCGTTAACGATATTCCGCCACCTTTGACGAATGTGGACGCTCGCTAATTAAGAACACACGGCAAAGGGAGGAGTGCAACGCAACGGTGTGATTCGACAATGTAATTATCGTCTTCGCATGGCTAAATCGTCTTAACAAAGCTCTCCGATTCATAAAACAAACTGGAGAAAACGAATGGTTATGACGCAAAATTTCTTTATTCTATGTGCCATAGAACACTCGTGTAACGGAGGATTATTTCCGTCAAACGAGTCACTTTGACTCACGGAGCAAATAAACGAACTCCGGAAGTGTATCGAATGTTTTTAGTGCAAAATTTCATTATTCGATGTACCGTAAAATTATTTCAGATAGAACAAACAATCACGACGACGTTGAAACGATGTTAAAATGATGAGAGAATAACTAAAAGGCTTCAATCATGATTAGACTATTTTCTCGTCATATTTTCACGTCGTCGTGATTTTCTCTTCTGCTTGGGATGATACCTCGCGACGGCGGATTAATCCTGCCAAACGAATCGCTTTGATTTACGAAGTGAATCTGTAAACGAGCTCCAAAAGCGCGCGTTAAACGAGTTTGGCACAGAATCTCATTATTCGATGTATCATAAAACAATAATACTTCTCGGTGGATTGTTTTGGTCTAACGATTAATTCCGATGTAATGAGGTGATCCTAGAATGAGGTCGCGAAAGCGCGTCGAATTGTTTGGCTTAAAATTTGATTGCACCATGTTGGGTTATTACAAAACAAAGTATATGGATTAAAAGGGTCGTGGCGGACATCAATACATAGAAGAAGGTTGTCTCTACTATATTTATACAGTCACATTAATTAGTTGCCAATTGTAACTTCGAAATTCTAAAATATAGGGCATCCAGCTCCGGTCTATTTGAGAGGTTATTTTTGCGAACGATTCGAGTATTCTCTATGGAGCAAATTTCTAGGTCAGATTATTTGGGGAATACTTGGAGGAGAGGGGCGATCTCATTTGTTCGACCGTATGATTTGCCGTTGCATTCATCGTTTTTGGCACTTTTCGCACGGACGATATCACTCCGCGGTTCATATGAGCTCGCGGAAAATCGAACGCAAACACCGCATGTCATCGTCCCGGTTTTGTTGTCCATGTTATTCCGTCCGTCTGCCGAATTTAACACAAACATTTTTTCGCGCCCACGCACAGCAACCCGTCCCTGAACACCGCAAGCGCGGTGTGCGTCGACGGGCTTTGTTCCTTAATTACTGGCCCGAACGCGTCGTTCTTGCTCGCGGCAATAAGGACGAAATTGTGGAACCCCCCTCGGACGGAAGTTCTTGCGACCTGCGGACTCGCGCGCCGAGTTCCTGTGGCCGAAATTCGGCCGGCGGCACCGCCGGGCGACGTTTTCAACGTCGCGTCGTTCTCATGCGGCGTTTCTCAAACTACGCCGCGCGGAATTGAGGAACTTTCGCGGCAAGAAAACGGGTCTGTATTATTGTTGTCTAAAAAAACACGCACATTGATACCTCACGTGCACGAAATTGCAGGAGTCTTCGGGAGAAACAAAATGTTTTGAAAATTCAGTTCAGTCCCAAAGATCCAGACACATAATGTCGCTTTGTCTCTTTATCAACTTTGTCGAGTTTTCTAGCGAATAACTCTGTTCTCTAAAGTACAACCAGTGCATATTTCTTTACTGAAATGATCAGATGATACGAATTTTGCAATAAAGTTTTGAGATTTTACAATATAAGTGTGTTCTTGAGCTTTTAAAAAGCATGCCTATTGATTAGAGTTGTACGGAGAAGCGAAGCGAAGCAAGAAAGTTTAGTAACTGCCGTGTTCTTTCTTTCTGTCTTTCTCTCTCTTAAGCAGTTGAACTAAGACTGCGGAACAATCCGAGATGCGATAAACGCAAGAAGCCATTCTCGTGGGAGTAAGGGATGAACGTGTGTGGATGTCGCCGTTCGAGATTTCCGTCTGGGTGTATTACTCGTAAATCGGAATCGTCACGTGGCGGCGTATACTCCGCACTATTTATTCCTATCGGCAGTCTTCGAATTCCCTACCGTCGATCTACGGTTCGTTTTCCTCATAAATTCTGCGACGGCCAGGAAACTGAATGTTATTCGTATGAATATCGCGGCGGACGCCACCGCGTGAGGGACTTCTGCCCATAAACGGATACGTACGCGTCGGAATGGAGCGGTTCGTAGCTCCAGGAAAACGCACCCTATCGTTGCGAAAACATAAAAATTACGGAGCCGGGCGGATGACGATCTCGTAAAGATTGATCCGGCCGGGCTCCTCCTCGGAGCACAAAGGGCGTCGGAAAAACATGAATTTTGTACATCGACGCTTTGGGAGATTTCCAAATTGAATATGCTTAATTGTCCGTATCATATAAATTTTTTTGCAACTTTACTAGGTTCTCAATAGTCTAGGAATGTAGGCTGTCACTAAGGTCTATCTCGCTAAGAGAAATAGTAAATTTATAGTCTAGTTTTAAAAAAAAATATTGTAAAATCAAATATAACGTTGAAGTGACTGTCAGTACATTATTTGCTTCGTATATATTGCACAAGTAAAGATATAATTGTATCGTGTTAGAACTATTTAATAAGGATAATGTTTTAGTCGGTGGAAACGTTTAAGTATAATTATTAAAATTTTTGGATTAACCAAATTTTTGGGTTAGCCAAATTTTCTTTTTAATATGATTCTAAATTTATTTATCTTTATGCGAACGGCTGTTGACAGCCGCGCAACTTCAAGTCGCTGAATCTTGTATTTTTGAGCAGGACTGAGCAAATTATGAACATGACACGTTAGTAATAGGAAAGGAAGCAGGAAGGAAGTATATGAAGTACACTAAACGCGATCCACGATTTCGGGGATGAGACGGCGAATATCCCGAGAATTTCTGGTGGGAAAAGTATCGCTCGTAAATTCTCGCCGGGCATACCAACCCACTTATTCTCGCTGCGGCTTCGCACCTTCCTACTTCCCATTCAGAATTTCCTTCGACTTTCTTCCGTTTTAGGACGCTTTAAAGGGACATCAATGAGCGCGGCGGTTCGCCAAACGTTTACGCGCGTACTACCGTTCTCTTTCCGAAATAATATTTCACGGTTATTTCACATCCCACAGCGCACGTATACGTGTGTGTATGCGCGCGTTTTATAGACTTCTGAAATCCCCGAACCCCGTTTCTATTTCCGTCTTATCGAATATCAATTATTCGCTCCCGCCGGTCACATCGAATATCGATTATGCTACATTATATTAATATTAAATTAAATTAATATATTAAATTATATTAATACTTTCTCGATTCTTCGTAATCTATTCCCGGCTTATTTATTAATTATGGAAATATGGAACAAGACATCCCCCGCTTTATTTATCTAACAGCACCGCGCGCGGCAAGCGATCGGTGTACCGAGCGGCGAACTGCAAACTTCCAAAGGTGTAGCGATGCTGTTTCGCAACGATAAAATAATTACGTGAAGAATGCGCGGAATCGGAGGGTGGCAGGAAGAAAGAGAGAGGGAGGGAGGGAAAGGGGCGGAAGAAGGGAAGAGGACGATCACGCGGAATTCTCGTTTAAGACTTCCCTCAGGATTTGCGCGTTCGCAAACTTCGGTCGGCGATTTGACGCTCGACTATTTATTCCCGCTGCTTTACGACTCGCTTCTTCCACTTCGTTATTCGCCCACCTTTATCGGCCCCCTCCTGAGCGCGAAAGGAGATTCGCACTCTGCCAGAATGATTATTTATCCAAACGCCCCCTCTTCTTCGGCGATTTTACACGGCCTTACAGGCGCCACCGGCTGGAATAAAATCCCGACGTTATCTCCATTTCTTCTGCACCCATTGCTTTCCCCTCTCCCCTCTCTCTCTCTCTCTCTCTCTCTCTCTCTCTCTGTCTCCTGCCGCAAGTATCGATTTTAATTTCAGCAGAGTACACGCCGTCGCGACGCCGCGCAAGAATCGTGCGAGTATTCCTGCGAAGTTTGCGAGAACGAGATCGTCGATAGAGTCGACAGACTCGTGAATAACGCCGCGGCACGTTCTTTTCCGCGGATGCGTTTTGCTTCAATCCGGAATCGCCGAAGTCGATTTTTGTCCCGCCGTGCCGAGGCAGGGCGCACGCGGGCACACGAAATTATCGGGATAATACGATCGCGCGATTCAAATTTCTATGGAATATTAACTGCATAATGATCCTCGGATGTTTGTACTTTCAAACGATGAAGGTATAATGATTACTCGTTCGTGGTTATGCACCCAATTTGCGGTTCTGCCGTGTACGCGTTTCTATGTGTTTGATATCATTTCAGTGCGTGAATATTTAATCCTTTCGCGCGAGAGGGGAATGGGGAAGGGAGCAATGCACGTTCGCTGCAACTTTGTTGCGCGACATTTGCTGTTTAGCGAGCGCGCGCTCAGAAAAATGCTCCGCTGGTTCGGCTAGAATTCTAAATATCCCAATCAAAATTTATCGTATTTCTCTTGTATCTGCTAGAAAACTGTCCGTAGTACGTAGAATTTTTGCTGCAGCAGCAGCAGCAGCATTCTGGCAATATCTGCGAGCGAATTTAGCGTGTGGATTATACATCGAGGGTGTGAGGATTATATATTCGTTCGTCTCTCGTCGCTGGTCTCTCTTGTCTGCCACAGTGAAGTTTCATACGAAGTGTGACTGGCCTTAATCTGGATGGGCGCTACAGAGAGACTTTCTTGCTAAATTTCACAGAGAGTTCAGACAGAAATTCGGTCTGTCATCTGTGTTGTACTGTAAATACAAAACGTATGCGATATATGTCTCTCGCGCAGTTTACTGGGCCATTTATCCATGTATTAGCTAATTTCTCGTATCTAGATAATTTTCACTATGACCATTTCTTTTCAGTGTATTGAATTGTTGAGCGATTATCCTCGAATTCCTCGGAGTCTTATGGAATTGCGTCACTTTTTCTCTTTTTTCCAGGAGTCGATGAGAGAGCGGCATCGTCGCCCGAGCTCGAGAGTACCGAGAAATATGTTCTTCTGGATGACCGAATAACCGTGGGATAAAAACGACAGAAGGTAAGTGACGACGATATTTTTTTTTTTTTTTTTTTCTGGAGATTTCGATCGGACGGCACGTATGTATGGCGCGTACAAAGCGCGCGACGTGTAATTACATAACTCCGCATTAAATGTCATAAGCGTAATTGCGTTTTCCGATAGCTATGCATGAAAATCGAGCATAAATTCAAGCGTAGATATTTAATCGCTGCGATCTACGCGTTTTCATCGCCGGGCTAATTACACCGGCGCATTTTGAATTACATTTACAGGGGACGTTTAATGCCGCCGACCCTTGTCGCACCCCATCCCCTCAACCCCCATCCTCATCCTCGTCGTACTATGCCGAAATTGCGATTTAGCGTCGGCTACGAAGATAATACTTGCGGGAACTTAATAAAATATATACATCTAAGTTATCGCGCCAGTAAATCTAAATTGCTAATTTCACGGAGAATCCGCGGCAGATTCATAGACTCGCAGGATGATCGCACGACTAGTGAACTAATGAGGAATCTGACGGTCATGTAACCTATAATCCAACGTTTTCGACTTGATTGATTTAATCGAGCTTGTTGTTAGAGCTGCTATGTACGCTAAGAGAGAGAGAGAGAGAGGGGCAGAGAGAGAGAAGTAGTTAATCTAACTAAAATTATAGTTTCTTGACCCTAACCAGATTTTCCGGTTGTTTTAAACACGAAAATGGTAGTAGCAATGTACTATATAGTGGGATTGAATAAAAAAAAGCTTTTCTCTCCGTCATAATTTTTAATGATTTCTCTATAAGATCATAGTTATAAATACTAAGTATTTTTTCTCAGTGTATCGGGGATCGTGAATATTTCACGCGCAAGAGTGCGAGGGCGGCGCGAAGTTACGAATTTCGCGTAGCGGCTCTAAAGAAGTGCAACGACGGCGATGGCGAAGCCAAGGCCGGGCGTAGGTGGGCGCGCGCGCGCGGGAAATCCTTGCGCTGTGCGTGGAATACATTTGCGACACGTACGACGCAAGGTGCGGTTTAAACTTGCAAGCGGACTCCGGATATATATACCGCGGACTACAAAGTCGTGGAAAATCTCCGCCAGGCGGGACCGAACGTGATATCCGAAGTCACTCACGAATTCATAGGATATTTTTTCGCTCTCGCTCGATTCCTCAACTTGCTCCTGCCCTCTGTCTTTCTCGCTGCCCTGGCTCCTGCCCCTCCTTCCCTCCCTCCCCCCCTCGCCTTCCTCCGCCGCCCCTCTTTATTTCCATCTTCCTCCCTGTCGCGACCCGCTCGTGGTCACGCGTACCGATTTGATAATGTTTCCGAGGGTTTTCCTAGGCGCGTTCCCCGGTTCTACTTGCTATAAATCTCACAGCGATCAGCTATAAACTCTTCCATCCGATCCCTCTAAGCGCCGGCGCGTGGCGGTGGCGGATGTTCGGAAAGTTCTTTGTCGAAAAATACGACGGCGAGCTTTTGGCCACTTTTCCGAGCAGCGCGTTGCACTCCCGGCGTGTCGTTCCCGTCGTCGAAGGCTCCAGGCGTTTCACGATTTTGTTGGATTCTCGAGATCGCGATGGATGTAATTTTTGATACAATATTGTGTAGAATTTATGGGCTTGCGCTAAGGTTGCCAGATTTATGAATCGACAGAAGGAAGGAGTTTGAAGGACGGCTAAAAATTTTGACGAGCGAAAAAAAGATTGCCGGATACATCTGCAGTGGTCAACGTATAAAAGTGTATACTTTACAAGTGTCAATTTTTGAATTTATACAGGGTGTTCCAGACTTCCCTCCGCAATTTTTGTAGGAACCTAGAACAGATTGAGGTGAACATAAACGTCCGTGAGGTGAACATAAAATACCGTTTCGCGATATTCGCAATAATAGTCGAGATATTAATTAAAGAAGCCTGGTGAATGATTATACGCGATATAGTACATGAGCTGGCGATGTGTGTTGTCGTGTCAGGTCAAGCTGAACAGAAAGACCCTTCATTTTGCTATGCGTTAACGCGCAATCGTGACCTTGATTAGGGTGAATTTAAACTCGAGAGCGTTGAATGACAAAACGCGACAAAGACGCGTTCACTCATTCTGCTGTGGTTAACCAGTTCGTTGTCAAAGACTACCTAGACGAATCGCAATGATCACCAACGTTGACCACCTCGGCACACACAACCCGGATCTCACGTGGGAAATGTGATTACGCTCTCTATTATTTGCCTTGCGTTGCACAGCGACCGAATGCTAACACGAGGAGATTACACAATCAGAATGGGAAAAGTAAAAAGGTAGCCCGTAAACACGCGTAGACGCGTACATTGCAAAGACCCAAACGGTATCTTCCAGCCTGTCTCTCTTTCCTTCCTTCCTTCGTTTCATCGCGCTGCTTCCGCGCTGTTGCTCCGCAACTTTGTCCCACGAAACATTCAGCGTATAATGTTCGTAAAAGCACGCCGTGGAAATAGCGGAGAAGTGAGAGGAGGAGAAGGAGGGAGGAGAGGAAAGGAGAGAGACGGTGCACACGGCGGTAACTTACCGGCTACGCGGATTTATCGCACGGCCCGCGATATATACGTGTACCGGGGCTGGCTCGGCGAGTCAACAATGTAGGAAGTCTCGTAGAAATAACTCCGGGGAATAGACGGCCGCGAGCAATCGAAAGTATCCCACTCGATTTGGCTACGACTCCGCGGAATCTCTCGAGCGTAATAATAACGGCCGCCGCGTACCCATCCCTTACTGGTAGTTACATCCTCGGGATAATCGTCTTGGCGACCCAGTTTACGGCGCGTTCTCGTCACGCGAGAATGTGGAGCGCGCTCTCTCGCGCACACGTGATGCTCTCGCAGCTTGAGCGTAAAGGCTCGCGCGTTTCAAGCGGTCTTAATAGCTACTCCGCCGCTCGCGCGCGGTGCTCTAACTTTCGAGCGAGCGAACAAGCGCGCGCTTCGCTCGAAATTCCCGGCCGGAAGTTCTTTTACTTAATCCGAGCATAATAACGCGAGTCGCGCCAAAGTAGAATCGAAGTGAGCACGCGCGCGCATGGGAGTTTTGTATGCGAACAACGAAACTCGCGGACTCGAACTCTGCCCGCGTTGTCTCTGTCTGCACAACAGACGCGCGCTCGGATAATATTCTCCTATGAAAATCGCGGGAAACAAATATAATAAGCTGGCGGGGCAAGGTGTTGTTTTAATTCTTGATTATCTCTTAGATACGACGCGCGAAACTCTCGCTCGAATAAATCCCGAGGGATTATACGAGAGAGAGAGAGAGAGAGAGAGAGAGAGAGAGAGAGAGAGAGAGAGAGA